TTTTCTTTACACTTTAGACATGTTATATAAATAGTAAATGTATGTATGAGTATGTATATATGTTTTTATCATATAGGTGGCATGTGACCCACATGATTTCTCTTTTAAAGGATATATGTCCATCCTCTTCCTATACATTTGTATATGTATGTATATATGTATATGAAATTTATTTATAAAGATACTGCCAACTCCCAGTTTAGGGTTTAATCTTTTTTTTTTTTTTTTTCCTTTCCCAGGGATCAGTGTCTGTTCAGTGCAGTTATCTGTGCAGTACATATGGAAATGATTGAGGATCTGCTTTGATCTGTGTCATTTTTAGTCTCTCTGTCCACCTGACGCTTTGGTAATCGTGGCTGCTCACCCCATTTCTCCTGGCTGCTCCGTTTTGCCCTTGGGTGTGAAGGACTTGCTCCTCACCACGACACGGTGGCTTGCTTTTCTTCCTTGCTGATAGCTGAGTGGGGTGATGCTGAGGAAATGTGCCACTTGCGTCTGACCTTTGACAGGAAGCTGTTTAAATAAAATCGGATGACACGGGGGTTTTCTTACTTTCCACAGTAGGCGCTCCTAAACTTATCAGAAGATGTTTTTATTTGAGCTGAAACTTAAAAGGCACATAAGACCAATTTAGAAGAAAAAACTTTTTCACTCAATATCTGAGCTTGAGGTTTTAGAAATTAGAGGGTATAAAGCGTCTCCTATCTCTTGCTTTTGTAGTTTAGCCAACAACTCAGACATCCAAGGATAATTCCATTTCTAAGCCATGGTGGTCCTTCTGATCTTTTCCCCAATAAAATAAAACTACAAAAATAAGGCCACGTAGAAAAATTATAGTACACATCGTACTCATTCACTTTTACTCTATCCTTTGTTAACCCCTACCTCATAGGTTACATTTGTCATTTGTTTTCTGTCTGATTTGCTATTTCCATGGAAGGGACAGAGTATAAGCCAACACCCAATAATTCAGAATGAAGGCTCTTTTCTCTAATTTCAACTGCCACTGGAATGTTGTTCTCACCAAACTACTTATTGGCTGGCTTTCTTCATCTGAAGTCATTTATTTTATGATGTAACTGGTAGGTCTAATCAGCCAATCTACAAATATTTATTGATATGATTCACAGTTGATGGTTCCAAATTCACTCATTTGGAAATGAGTGCAGTTATTCTGTTGCAATATATTCTGATGTAATGGATTTAATTTCTTGTTTATACATTCCGCTATATTGTATCAGCTAGCTGTGTTGCTGCACAACAAACCATCCCAAAACTTGGTAGTTTTAAGAGCAGTCATTTATTATTATAGCTCACATGTCTCTTCCTTGATGGGGGTTGGCTGATGTATGTGGGGGTCAGTTGAGTGATTCTGCTGATTTCAACAGTATTCACTCACATCTCTCATGTCCCCTGAGTGTTGACTGATCTTGGCCAAATTCATCTGGGGGTGGCTTGATCTCTGTGTCTGTTATCCTTCTCCTGGGATCAGTAGATTGTCCTGGCACATCCTTCTCATGGTGATGGCAAAACTATAAGAGCACAAGTCCTGTCGTGTAGGTGCATTTTGAGACTCTACTTGTGTTAAGAAGCTAATATGTCAATGGCTAAATTGAATCACATAGCCAAGCCAGGGTGGGCATTAGCCCACAGTGAGAAGGCAGTGAAAAACTACATGGCCAAAAAACAAACAAACAAACAAAAACTACGTGGCAAAGGGTGTGGATGGAGGGAGAGTGAAGACC